CAGTACCTTCACAAATTCAACTTTAAGAAAAACTGTAGTTTCTTGAAATACTTTTAAAAAAGCAAGTTCTCATGCAACACTTATGTCATGTTCTTGTAATGATCTAGAGCTCTTTTTGCCAAATGTCTTTTACGAAAAGGTATCACATGTTTGGTCAGATACTGCAATATGGTAAACCTAACTGGTCTCTCACATCATATCAAAGCAAGTTTGTTCTTTAGCTGAGTTTTTTAAAATTGAACAACAAGGCTCTTCCTGTATAAACTGTACAAGAAGTCGAAATTCCAACATTATCTTAAACACTATTGTAAATTTATTCTAACAGCCTTTTATTTTTTATGAAACATTTTTTTCTCTGTGAAACCTTTTCTGTTTGACCTAGCCAAAAATGTTCTCATAATGAAAATAACTTTTAGTGCTAGTACTGTTAAATGCATGTTTTTATTAAATTCAAGTTGAAATTTAACTATGGACAATGGTTTTATGAATTTTTAAATTTGGACACAATTTTAAGGCCAAAATTTTACAATAGCATAGCTGCCAACCCTTCTGCATTTTGCAGAAGCTTTCCGCATTTTTACTTATTTTAGCTATTTTTTCCGCGATCTTCTGCAATTTACCCGTCTGCCCGATAGCTAGTATTTTCTTTAAGTCAGACTATATTGACTATACCCCACAGCAATGCTGAATGTGAAAGGGTATTTTCTGTAGTAAAAAAAAATAGGACTCAATTCCGCTCATTGATGTCTGATAAAACTCTCAAAAACTTTTAATAATTAAGTCTAAAGAAGGAATACTTTGTTTTGAAAGAGACTTCGAAAGAATTTTTAGTAAAAGCAAAAGGCGCTACTAAAGCATCTTTCCAAAAAAAAAAAAATTTTCTGATGTAATTGTTTTTCCATAATTTCTATTGAGTTTATATATAGTGCATACTATTGTAGTGTAATTAAACTAATGTTAATATATGTCTTAAAATATTATATATTTCCCTTTAATCAAGAATTAATAAATGAATATTGTGCCCTCAAGTAGCTGGTCAAAAGTTTTTTTAATTTTTTCTTCCTTTTCTTGTTTTTAAAAAAAGGGGAGTATTTTTTTAAAAAATTTATTAGTAATTAGTATGCAGTTGCAAATCTTCTGCATTTGAGCAGCTATGCAATAGCGAAATTATTTTTGAATACACGAGGAAAAATATATAGAAATTTACGAGTCATAATATGATTAATCAATACCTATATGATTTTTATTTGTAGTGACAGTTTTTGAAAATATTTTCTCACTTTACCATATTTTTGTGTCAATTTTTTTAATATAATTTTTACAAATTATGTCTAAATTTTCACCAAATAGTTACCTCTCAAAAAAGCCTGATAATAATTCCCTAAATATTTCTTGAGAAATATGAAAAATTGAGTTAGTGTAGAAGTGTTTCCATTATTTTGTCCAATCCCTATAAGTTTTGAAAATTACTTTAAAAAAACAATTTATTTCCAATACAAAGGACATTTGGCTAATTCTGTAAAAATGCTCCAAAAGGTTAGAAACTGAGGGTCATTTTCACTGAGTATTTAAACCTATTTCTTTCTGTTTTATTTCACTGCTGTAGAAACTTCCTGGGGCATTTTGTTGAATCTAAAATATAAGGATGGTGGCAGCAGTCTGAACAATAAGATTCCAATTAGTTTATGGAAAGCATTCAAAAGTTTGGTCCCCTTAATTTTACTTGTTGCGTTTATTTCACCATATCTAGAGGAAGCAGATTGATAAATTTTTTGCACACAATTATAAAATTCATTTATCCATAGATTTGCAAAAAGTAATGACTGTGCAAAAAGTAATTTTAATTAATTATAGTCTAAAAAATTTTGAATTGCAACTTGCATAAATTTTTATATTATATTTTAAAGAATGTAATTTTCTGTAGTAAAATGCAAAATCTAAACGAAATTACTTGAACAGTTAGTTTGTGCGAAATCAAATTTTAAATATATAATCTCTTAAAATGTTAGTAACTTTGAAACTATGTGACTGATTTCGTTAAAATTTTCTATTTTGTTTTATGAAATCGCATTCTTTAAACTGATATATTAATTTATATACTTTAAAATTCAAAATTTTTTTTAACCAATCTTATATAATAAAGTAATAAGAAATAGTAATCAACGCCAAGGAACAAGCTTTTTGTTGCATTTACACAAATATTTGATTTTGTCTAATTTGAGTGTTGGGGTTTTGAACCAGAAATTAGTTTTCCTGCTAAAGCTAGGACTTTTCCTGCTAAGCTAAAGACTTTTTTTATTTTAAATTTCATTTTTAGACTTTTTTTTTTGTTGAAATGTTCAAGTTTATAACCATTATATATGACATATATAATGCATAAATGTTGCCACAAACTTAGAGTACACCATCAAGATTAAAATTGCATATGGACTTATGCCTGGAAATGTCGCTGTAAACAGCTAGGGCCACTTCCTCTATTATGATTAAAAAAAATAATAAAATATTTCCCATCGTAATTCTTTAAAATTGTTTTTGGATTAACAAATTTCGTTATTGTGTGTGCGATAATTAAAATTACGATTCATTAAAATTTTTGCATGACTCCCTATTAAAACTAAGTTTTAAAAGTTGTACTTTGAAACGAATAAGCAAGCCATTAAATTGTTTTCTGATTATAATTAGTGGTTGTTTAATGCTCTGAATAATTTATTTTTATTTAATGGGAGAATACTTAGCTTTTCAACATGAACAGCCGTTCTATAAACGTGGTAGATTTATATAACATAAGGAGGAGAAATAATATTTATTGAAACAAAAAAGATGAAAACATTAGTATGAATAAAGAAAGATTCCAGTTTATTATAGGACAGCAGAGACTGTCAAAAGCAAGATGCCACTCTACAAGGAGGACAGAGAAAAACCTGGAAAATACAGGGAATTTTCTTCTTTTAAAAAAGGGTGACCACTCAATGCGTAATCTACGGGGGATATTTAAGGATGATATTCCAACTCTGCTAAACTATTTCATTTACTATAGCATTATTTAAGTATGTTCAGTTGCTCCTTTTTTTCTCTAAGTTTTTCAAGCCATTCAAACTAGTATAGTCAGCCCAATATAGCGCAGGTGTTTCCTCTCAATATATTGTGTATAATATGTACAGGGAATTTTTTTTCCAGATTTGAGTGACAACCCTGTATGGCATGATGCGTAGCATTTTTAAAAAGTGCTTGAAGGTACTTATTTTCGATGTTCATTTTTTAAAATCCTTTAAGGGTACTTTTTTTATTGGGTGTTTTTAAAAAGTGCTTAATTTTCCCTCTTTTACTTTTACCACGTCGCATGCAAAATATTCTCAATTTCAGGTTTCAGAAATCAGATCGTATTATAATGGTCTAATATAATCAAGAAAACAGTCTCAGAAACTTTAGCATGATTATGCAAAGTCTTTGAAAATTGTTTTGCATTTTGTTATTGTCTATAATGTTTAAAAATATTTTTTGAGTACTTAAAAGGTATTTATTTTTTGTTGAAAGATTTGGCTGTATGGGCATTTTTAAACAAGCATAGTTTCTGTTTTTTTTTTTTGTTTTTTTAAATAAATTATTTAATAGGTTTGATCTTCAATTACATTTGATGAGCACAAGAGAAGTACTGTTTCTGTAAAAGGAAACTCTCAAGGAAAACTGATTTTTAAAACTTAGTAAATGCGTGTCATCCAATCGATATTTTTGTGATAAGTGGATATAAACCGTTCTTCTCTCTTCGTCCTCATTTGTGACAAGTTTTTATAGGGGAGAATAATGAGTTTACGTAATACAGTCAACCCCCACTATAGTGAGCACGGTTTATAGTGAACGATATGTTCGTTCCCGTGCCTTTCTACACATGTATAATGTTACTTTTTGTAAATATAGTGAACCAAAACAAAAAAAGGAAGTTGGATAATATGAATTTTTTTTTGTCTTCAAATGATTTTTTTTCTTCTTCATTTTTTTGTAATTTTGAAATTTCTACATTAAATCCATATATCGATTTTTACGACCATTTATTGTGTGGAATGTAGCCATAAGCATTTTTTTCTTCTTTGCTTCCTTCTTCTATCTCAGTTTCCCAGCCCTAATTTTTTTGTACATAAGACGAAGAGTAGTAAAAAATAACACATTTTCTTTACTATATATTGTTTTTTAATCATTTTTGTGTTTCATTTTAGGGTTCACAGTGCCCAAAAAATTACCAAAATATCGATTTTTGTTTTTACTGGTTATAATAAAACTTCAAACTATTTGAAATGCACTGAAAAAAAATCATCTCTCTATCTACATTTTTGAAAAATTATGAATGATTTTAGATCGTCCTAATACAGAAACTTGCTCAGCAGACAGACTTTAAAAGTGCTTTTTAAGCATTTTATGAGGTACTACAATTTTTACAGCATGTTATATATACCTAACAAGAATTTTTAACCTTTTTTTCTACTTTTTTACAAAATAATCTATAAAAAATTTTCTAATTGATATATCAGCAAATGAATGCACAAAATTGTTAGGATGAATATTGTAAGCACTAAGAAAAAAAAAAAAATTTTTAATGTGTTAAAATAAAAAAAGCCTTAAGTATTTAAAAATTTTAAATTTTTTCAAATTTTTTTGAAATTTTAGAAAAATTAAATAATTTAATTATTTTTTAAAAATAAATTTTTGGTTTTAAGTTAAATGAGCATGTAAAGCATCCACAAAATGAATGATTATATCTTTATTTTAAAAAAAATTTACAAAGGTACTGTGACCCCTTTATTGATCATTTATTTAAATAATGTGTAATAAAAAGAGGGGAGGTTGTGAAAGATTAATTAAATTAATTGTTGACGGAATGGATATAGTGAAGTCCCGGTTATAGTGAACGGAAATTTCGGTCCCTTGAAGGTTCACTATAGCGAGGTTTGACTGTATTATTCCCATTGTTTATAACCCATGTAGTTATACTATATAATTATTTACAGGAATACACGAAGCTTCATGATGAAATAAGTAAATTGAATGAGGAAGTCGAACATTTAAATAATATTCTAATGAGACATCAAAAATCTCCGAACAGAACAACAACACATGTTTAGAAGAAAATGTATATATTTTCTATCAAAATTAAAACTAGAGTTTAGTAAAATGTGTCCTTCATTTCTTTCTTCAAAGGAGGTCTTCAAAAGAGAGTGGGTTCCAATTGTTTGTTGTTTATTAATGTTTACAGTTTTTGTTTATTGTTTATTGATATTTACCTATATGTTAAGTCAATTCACAGAATTAAAACTTTTTTAAAATAAGGTACTTATCCCTGCCCTCTCTTTGAAAAAAATACCCAATGAAGCATGAAAAGCCCAATAAAACCCAGAAAAACCCGGGGTTTTTGCAACCCTGGTCCTAGAAAAAGAAGATATGATCATTAGATCAAAAGTTATGCAGCGTAGTTTTTATTTTATTTATTTACTTTCTTAGTTTTCTGTACATTTTAAAAATTAAAAGTAAGAGCGTTTTTGTTTTGACTGTATATAATTTATTCGAATAAAAGTTATTTTATTTTGAAACAACTGAAGTATTTTTTAAAATTTTAAAAAATTGTCTTCTTTTTTAAAACTCATATTAGCGTTGTTTTTTTTAAAATTACTTTTTAAAATTCAATTTTTTGAAAATTAAAAAACCGAGGAAATTGAATTGAAAAAGTCAGACTTCCTCAAAGAATTTATAAAAATTAATTTTATAATAATATTTTAAAAATTGCGAGGCTCTGTGACAGAGGAGATAATGATTTTCGACTCCATGAAAATTATGCAAATAATAAATTTGTGAAATTTAAATCAATATAATAAAAGTGAACAATGGTCAATTAAAGGCATTTTTAATGTAGAAAGAGTCTCAGTATATTAAAAAAGGGCCGCTTTTTTTTTTACGTTCACCTTAATTTTGTTTTGTTGAGCTTAGAAGCTTGAAATTACTAAAGTGAATAGAAAAGTAAGTGATAAAGTATATTTATCAAGATCTTCATTTCACTTAATGTTGACAAAAAAAAATGAAAAGAGATAATTTAAAAATTTCAAGAGACCGTTTACAATTTGAACTGTTATAAATTATAAGGTTATCATTATAGATTAGATAGGTAGGTACTTTATTTACGTTGCACTAGAACTGCACAATGGGCTATTGGCGACAGTATGGGAATCATCCCTGAGCATGATCCGAAGGCATGCCATCGCAATTTTGATCCTCAGCGAGCACTTTAAGAACAGTTTACGAGGACCAATATCGCGCACCCCCGATCCCTACGCTGGCCGATCAAAGTGGTTATCCAGCTGCTTATTGACCGCAGCCAGTGATGCTTGACTTCGGTGTTCTACTGGGAACCGTGTTGTAGTGTATCTACCACTACCAAAATACAATTACAATTCACTAGTATATAAGACGTCTATTCTATGGTAGGGTACCTTTTCATAGATGAAAGTTGACATTGTTGATAGCTACCATCTTCACATTGGCGACCCTGACTTGATGAGGACCCGCTTACCTTGCCATAAACGCCCACTACGAACGCCTACTTCAAAGGATGGTTCACATTGAACTTGCTACTTGTGACTGTGACATTGTCCTCCTCACGCTGTTGCTTCGCAGTTTAGATCACACATGACGTACAACGTATACACTCGACTGCTGAAGGCAACATAAGAGCGATAACGATCGTGAACTTAATACAGCTCTCACGATCATCGTTAAAAAAAAGTCCGGTGATCTTAATACAGCTCTCCCGGCTTTTAATGTTTAGCCTATTTTATAAAATATTTTTAAAATGTATTTCTTCTTTAGTCAGGAAATAAAATCCAATTTACTCAAATAATAAGATGACATAGAACAGTCCCTGGACTAATTATTCTAAGATTCTATGTAAAAATTTTAATTATCAGGTGATACTCTATACAGCTTTATTGTTTTTACGCGACTAAAACCGGTTTGAACTTGTTTACGTTAGTGTATCAATTGGTATAACATTGTAATGTAATACGTTTAAAGTAAATACAAATAGGAAGTCTGTAAAAAATCTCCTGGATAAAACCATTATATGTCTAAATATAAAAGTATTGCCTATAAACTGGTGCAAAACATGTCATTATTAAAAAAACTACTGTGCGTCTATTAATTTGGTCTAATTATTACAATATAGTAACTGATATGATAAATATTTATATTATCTAATTGATACACGAACGTAAACAAGTGCGAACAGTCATATAAAAAACAATGTCTATAGTATCACGTGATAATTTTACATAGAATCTTATAGTGTGCCTAATGATATGGCCTATTTGAAAGGCTGGTTGAACTACCTGCATATTTATCTGATGGTATATTGTTGTCAAGGGCGCCGGCAGTGGGGTGCACTTGCACCCCCCTGGCTTTTTTTTTAAACAATTGAAGAGATACAGAAAAATTTTGTTATGAAATTTTTTTATTAAACATATTTCTATGGAAAAACAAATAATTAAGTACTTATTGATACATAACAATTAAAAAATTGCTTAATCAAACAACAATTGTAATCGTCCTCTTTGCTGTCCAAATCTGTTATAACTTTTTCAGTGAATTCTGAGTCATCTTTGATTCTTTTCTTATGCACACTGAGCATTCACAAACTTAGCAGATTCAATACAGGTTTGTTAAAAAAAATTCTCACGTTGCTTACCATTTGCCGCCTCTTACCGTGAACATTCTTTAGTGGGAAAAAGTAACCAATGAACACCTCGCTTTACATGACGTCACATAATAGAACACTACAATTGGATCTCACCTGACTAAACTCCTCCCAATGNCTTTTTTTTAAATATCTTGCTAACAATGAAGAAATGTATCTTGAAAAAATGAACAGATGAAAGTATATGTAATAACAAAACAAAATGTAATAGCAGAATATTTTAATTTTTTTTCGGTGGGAGGGGAGGGTAGTTTGTTGTAGGGTTGCACCCCCTTATATATTATTCTGCCGGCGCCCTTGATTGTTGTATTTAATTTTATACAGAAAGTGATATACTATCTTTAAGAAATGAGATACGGAAATCTCACCTCCACTTTAAGTCGTCCTAGTAGATTAAAAAAGAAGAAAAAAAATGTGTTTATTTTGGTGATTATTTGTGAAGAGAGCGGTGTTGATTGATTGTGTGATAATCCCTTCGACAAAATTTTTAATACCACTTCTCTTCCCTATTCTCATTTAGAAGCGTTTAAGGTAAGTGCAATATCATTATTAACATTTAAGTTCAAAAACGGCAATCAAAATGACACCCGATATCAAATTTACTACTGCATAACTACGAAACACACACTAAAGATAAACAACTAAGAAAGTTACTTTTTCTCCCTCCTCATGAAATTAATTCTTTAATGAATGAATTAAAAAAAAATTTATTGAATAAAAAGTTATTTGAAGCGTGAACTGAAAAGGCACGTATAAATTGGTATAACCAAAGTATGAATTGGGTGACATGCGCTTCCATGTAACGTTCTTTATTGAATTTATCTGACACAGCGAATATGTACGCAATAAACTATTTTTGTTCAAATAGTTTATCATTGATGTTATTTTTAAAATCTGTGAAATCTCTTATATTTAAAAGAATGTTGTTGTTAATTTACGTCGAGCTGCACAATGGGCTATTGGCGACGGTCTGGGAAACATCCCGGAGGATGACATGCCATCACAATTTTGATCCTCTGCGGAGGGGATGGCACCCCCGAAGTCGAGCACTTTACGGTAGAACAGTTTAACGAGGACCCATACCGCACACCCTCGGTCCCTACGCAGACTGATGCAAGTGCTCACCCACCCGCACACTGACCGTGATGCTTGACTTCGGTGATCTGCTGGGAACCGTGTCTTAACGAGATCAGTCTACTGCGGGACTTTAAAAGAATGACTAAGGGCGCTTTTTCATTACACGACAAATGTGTGAACGACAATGTCGTTGCCGGATCATTCAAGCAATTGTTTTTTCACTTGTCCGATATCGTTAGTCCGAGAAGTAGAAATTCTTGTTCATTCAATGTTTTGAGCTTGAGTGTGTAGAGACATAAAATTTAAATAATTTATTTGAACGTGTTTTGAAAAATTATAAGTTTTCGTTTTGGCAACGGAGTTAGATATATAATCAATGTTGTTGTGTTCTAAAATGTTTAAGAAATAAAATATGTTATTTTTTTGATAAAATTATTTGTAGTATCGTAAATTGGCGTTCATTTAATTTAATTGGCACAAAGACCCAACAAGTGAGCAGTTGCTTGTGTTCTGCTGAGATTTTTTTCTGCAAACTTTAAATATGCCGGATGATAATCGTCGTCTCACTTTATTTTAGAAGAAAAAAACTAGCAGTGCAGAAACGTTTTCGGGTGCACGAAATGGTACTTACGTATTAACGCCACCGCAGCTACAGATTTGGCGGTTTTTAAGTGCCGCCAATCTACACCTAAAATTTTTGCGACAAATCATGAAATAAAACACTCTATTTAAAATCTAAAAATTCAAAACATTTTTTTAAAAATCAAAGTAGTCAATTGGCTTTCGGTGGAAAATGGGCCGGTATAGAGTTTAGCATATTTTTAAAACAATCTCTTTTCTTTCACCAGATGTTGTCGTCATATGAACTATGATAAATAAGATTCCAAATGATATCTCGCTGTCCCACTATGTCTTTTGTTCCTCCATTTAGCACTGCCCCTTATTCTCTCAACTGTTTGTGTATTATGAACTCCTGTATCAGGATTTTTAAAATGTATACAAATACCTACTTGTATTTATGATAAACCATAGGAATCCTTCTATTCTCTTTGTTTGATAACCTTTCCAACTGTCAGAATAAATTGTGCTACCATCTAAGCTCCACTTGCTGATCACACTGTCTTAAATTACATTTCTAAAACGTATGTTTAGCAAAAGAAAGTTTCATGTCATGGGAATTGGTACATTTTCGTTTTCTTTTGGGTAAAATATTTCGCTACTGAAAAAATAAAATTGCATCTTGTTCTGTTTTTGGCAAATCCAAAAGATGCATTTTCGTAGCACTTTAAAATGGCTTCAGAAAACAGCAAACAAGGCAACATGGAATCCAAAAGATAACTGCGTGAGAAAACGGGGTTGCTGTGTGTGAACAACAGGATTGCTCTTTATTGGCGCAACTTCTGCAACAACGTAAGTACCCACGAAATAAATGAGGTCAGATATGTTGAAGAAGATTTTTATGTGCTTTTCCATAAGCTACAAAAAGTCCCAAAAAAATTTTTTAATTACGTCCGAATGAGAGAAACCAAGAACAAGAATGATGTTAATGAGGAATAATTTTTATATGGCTTTTGAGTTGGCGTCTGCTCGCCAACTTACGTCTGTAATNTTTGTAGGAACATCATATGTCACATGACTATTCATATTACTTTTATGAGAGTTGCGAATGGCAACAGATCAAAAAATAATAATAAAAAATGAGTGTTCTAAAAAATGTCTGCTGATCATTTTTATCCTGTAACTCTGTTGCGTACAACTGGTGACCCGGACGTGATCAGCGCTTAGTTACAGGATTAGAACTTGGAGATTACAAGCCAAGCCAACTTTTGCAAAAAATGAAAAATTTAGGGGCAGACGATTTTTCAGAAAAAGTGTTAAAATCTTTATGGCTTGATAAAATGCCGAATTTTATACGAAATATTCTACTTGTCATTGAAGAAAGTTTAGATAAACTGTCTACGATGGCGGATAAAATTCACGAAATGAAAACTGGGGAAGAAATATGTACTGTTTCACCACATGTTACCTACAATGATGCTTTAATTGCACGAATAGCAGCATTAGAACAGAAAATTGATTCACTGCAAATAAATGACCCTAGTAGATCTAAATTTAGAAATAATTACCGAAATACATCTCTAAGTCGCAGTCATTCAATAAAAGTATTCAATAGGAAAGGTAAATATTGTTACTACCATTTTAAATTTGGTTCAAAATGTTTACCTGGTAAATGTCGCCAACCATGTTCTTATGATTCTGATGCGGAAAACAGGGAAAAGCAGTAGATTTGGCGGCAGATTCTGCTGCTGAGGAAATAAATGATTGCCGTAAATTTCGATTGTATGTTCNTTTGATTCCGACAAACGATATCGCCTTGTCGGATACGACATAATCGTATCGGTGAGTGAAAAAGCGTATTTTACTTGACCCTTTGTCGGTCGGATCCGTTATCGTGTCGTGTAATGGAAAAGCGCTCACTTAATGAATGTTTTTGAGTGGATGAATAAAAAGTAAGAAAGAAGAGTGAACTAACAGTGGGAATTGAAAAACAATTAGGTATACTTAACAGTAAAAGACAGGCCCTTAGCAAGTTCGGAGAAAAACCTACTTACATGGTATAGACCAGTGATTCTCAACCACTGTGCCGCGGCACTTTTGTGTGCCGCCAAAATCTTAAAATGTGCCGCCAAATATTATAAATGATACAATAAAAATTATATGGCTTTTTTTTATTACGAGTAAAGTTTAAATTAAAAAGAAAAATGTGTGTATATATACTGTTATATATAGACTTTTTATATAATTTTTCCTCGCTTTAACCGCGTGAACATCTTTTTCGGCGATTGACTTGTTTCTGACCATCTTAAAATAAGAAGGAAGTATTTAAATTGTCTTTGACAATTTTAAAATTTTTTTTGAAATAAGTAGTAAATTTAATGACTATTAAAATTATTAATTAACAAAAGAAAGCAAGATAAATATTAATTTTCGAACGGAAATAAAAGCTAATCATTAAAGTAAGCTATGCAATTAATAGTTATAAAGGAAATTAACAAAGAATGTAACAAAAAAAATAAGCTAGCAATTAATAATTAGCAAGAAAACTAGTTAACAAGAAATAGCACAAAAAATAATAATTAATGTAAGAAAACTAACAGCTGAAAACTATAGAAAACAAGCTAACAATTAATAACTAGAAAAAAACTAAATAACTGTTACTAACTAATAAAAAATGAATCGAAAGAAATAATTAATCCCTTAATAAACGTGCTTTTGTAGTACATATCATTTTATTTCACATTCAAAATTATTATCACAAACTATTTAAACACAGTGTATTTTAGGGAAGTAAACAACTTTTAAACTAATTTTTTTCAATGTGTTCTGCCAAATTTCGAAATCGATAAAAGTGTGCCGCCACGAAAAAAAGGTTGAGAATCACTGTTATAGACATTCCCAGTAAAAGAAATTCTAAAAATTAACCCAAACTTTTTAAACAATTCATATAATAATTTTATCGTTCGCTGTTATTACTCGAAAATTCTACTTTCCAAAATTTTAGTTCTTATTACACTACAATGAATAAGAATCTCAAAAGTAAATGGTTTTTATGCCACGCTCTAGAATATCATGATAAAATTGCCATAATGATCTCCAGAACAATACATCATTTTACCAATTATTTATTAATTTTAACATTTTGATGTTTTAACCTCTTACCCAATAAAAGGGTCTGCTGACACTGTTTATTTAAATGGTTGATTAGGAGACTGTTAATATTTTACATTCGGTTAAAAGGCACACTAAATATCTATTAAGAGAGAGAGAGAGAAACGTTTAGAATTATTTTTCTACTTTTAGGTAAAAGATGTTTCAATGGGTTCAACTGTGTATCTTCATATTATGTTGTGTTGGAGTTTTATTTGGTGTTCTGGGAGAATTTGGATTACAGAATGAAACGTGTGCCTTCTTTTTCTTGGGTGTGTCTGCTTACGCTGGAGGAAAAATCATACGCCTTATTAGGTTGCCTGGATTATTAGGTTAGTACACTGAATAACTTTTGATCCGATTTTCCAATCTTGAGGGCGGCTACGATGGCTCAGGAGCGTTCGCCTCCCAATGAAGTGAACCGGTTTGGCTGGTCGATATGAATCTGGCTGGCACCAACTACTGACGTAAAATATCCTCACGGGTAGGCGAATGATGGAGTCCCCTTGCCGTCGGACTAACCGTGTGAGGTTCTCGTGGTCTTCCTCTCCACGTAAAGCAAATAGGTATTAGTTCCATCAAAAAGTCCTCCACGAAGGCAAATTCCTACCAATACTTGATATATATATATGTGTGTATGTTACCGGCAAAGTTTGAAATCCGGCATTGTATATAATGCCTAAAACTAGCCGACAATATATGAAATGATTTATATTTCACACTTTTCCTAGGCAACTCCTTACATATTTCCTAGGCAAATGATTTATATTTCACTTTCTATAGAATGCCGAATGAGAAACCGGCAAAGAATAAAATCTTCTGTGATGGCCATGCTAGTAAAAGTGATGAAATAGATATTTTGTGCAATACTCGTATTTGTTTCTAAACTGAAAATAATTGTGACTTAAATGTGAATTATTTATACGAAAATTTTGTTTCCCTTAATAATAAAGGCATAAATTATGTTTTGTACAACTTTCATTTTTCGCTACGCATTTTGAATAATTTTTTTTTAATACCACTCTCATTATTTTTTCAGAATAACGTTTTTATTTTTGAGAAATGCGCGTCATTTACATAATAACCTCATCAGGACGTTTTTTTCATACTTTGCCTAAATAGCATTTGTCATTCTATAGAATGCCTAGGTATTATATACAATCCTTAGGGAAAGTATGTAATACTTCTCAGATTTCATACCTTGCCTAAAAACATCCGGCATTATATACAATGCCTAGGTTTATAGAGTGCAGGCGTTTCATACTTTGCCAGCAACATATATATGTGTATGTATTTACTGTGTGTGTATATATATATATTAAGTTACGAAATCAGACACAAGGACGAACTTTCTCTGAATAACGTACCTTTTTTTCCCCACAGACTCGTATTTTTGACCTTCAGAATACGAAGGAAGTTAATTTTTGAAAATGTAATTTTAAATTGGATGAAATCGGTCAAAAAGTTCTAGGAAAAGCAAATTTCAAATTTATCTTCTTTTTTTTTTATTACTATTCGAGTTCCTAAATTTTGTAAAATGCAATTTATAATTACATTCATTAAAGCAGTGTAAAAAGAAACTTTAATGATAAAGTCTATAAGCGTAACCTAAATTTGATCGGAAATATGAGTGAATATAAATTAATTTGTTATGAAACCTGTAACAACTATCCTTAATGACAGACTCGTAAAGATGTTTGCTTATATTTTTTTAAAACTTATTTTGTATGCATCAGAAAAGATCAAATTAAAATTATTTACGCTTTATTACATAATTAGACAATCAAGATTTGGATAATATAGGTAAAATCGGCAAAAAAAAAGTCCATATTAGACGAGGAAAGCACATTTGTTTTAATACTATTTTCAATAATTTTGAATACTCAATAAGATAGGTTTTTTTTTTAAAAAATTAAGCTGATATTCTTAAACATATTTTATGGAAATATTTTACTATATGCAAAACCTTTTTTGGTTGAAGTATTTTTCAGCCGAATTTATAATTTATTCTATACTGAAACACATGAGTACAAACTAACAAATATTAAAAAAAATTTAAAAAAACTTATTTATAAACAGTGTTGGACGTTTGCTTCTAAAAAGTATATTTGCCAATTATGTTGCGACTCAAGGCAATGCTAATTTAATTTTCTTGCACACTCGCATGAACGTATATATATATATATATATAT